CTGCTGAACAAGCAAAAACCACAGCAATGCTGTGTGATTGGAATATGGTGCAGACGTCTCTAAGCTGGCACACCACAGCATGACATTATGTGGACTTTACAGCTTGGGCCTGAGAGCAGAGTCACTTTATTTGTTTCAAGCTGTGCATGAGAGCTCTTCAAGGAGCTTGTTGGTTTGGATGCAGAGCCATGCAATTGAGGATATACTGCTTCCAGACTCAAGCTGATGTGTATACAGTCAGCGCAGTCCCTAGTCTGCACTCAGCAATGCAGTCTTCCATGTTTAGTATGTGCACACCATGTGTGGGCGCAACCAGAAATGATAGACCCTGAGACAGGGAGGATTTCCATTAACGAGGAAATTAAGGCAGAGTGCATAATATTTGATATCTGAGAGAGATGAAGATGAGCCAAAAATGCAACAGAGGTGAAGCAAGCCTTTTAACACCAGTAAAAGTAATTTTTATTGACTTTGGGCTACTTGTATGTATGACTTTGATGCTGTGTGCTAATGGTCTGCATAAATATTGCATTTGTAGTTTGATTATGCTGGCTGAAGAAGTCAAATGTGACTGTTGGGGTAGATTCCAGCACACGAAAATAAGCACAAAGAATAGTGTGTAGCATAATTCATTTTTAGAGCTGAATCCGTGAGTGAGACAATTCACAGACTGTATGTCATAAGATTGTTCAGTTCCTAAACAGAGGAGTGCTTATAGGTTTTAATTATTTGGAGATCATCATATTAAGTAGTTTTGGATAGGGGAAGCTTCAATTTTGTGCGTTGCTACTCTGTTCCAAGTTTTGTCAGCAGATATTTTTATTCAGTTGATCATGACATTTATTCATCTGCCTGGTCACTTTTTTGTCATTATTTTAGGTTCCCGAATGAAAGATCATCCTCGTCCAGGGGTAAGCTTAAAATTAATAAATTTGGGGTGACTAGATGGCTCAGGGGATTGTAGTGAGATACTGAACCTTTCTTCACTAGTTCGAATTCAGACCAGGTTGGTAGCAAGCAAAAGTTCTGGCTGTGTAACAGATGTCTAATGTTGAGTGAGTTGGTGGTCTTCATTGTCCCTATTGAGTGTGTCTATAGTACTGTAACTGCCACCCCTACCTAGCAGCTACTCTGACTGTTGCGCCCAAATGGAGTTTCAGGGCCTGTCACAAAAAGGTGGTGGATGTGAAGGGAAGTCTGGTGTTCTTCTACAATGCACTCTTTCACATGAATTTATAAAGTCCTTTTGCTTACCTTAATGAAAGTGCTTTTTCATTAAGGTGAGTGCAGAATACCATTGAATTTTTTCATCTAGGTGGCTTATAACAAAGACTTAGGGTTTTTTCCCATATGTTCTTTTACACCAGAACCCTTTAATATTCTCTTGAATTCCCAGCTATACGAATGCTATAGCCTTGATCTTTTTTTCTTTTCTTATTTTCCTGTGATGCCCCCTAATTTGGTGAGACCATCTGAAAGCATAGTATCTGTCTTTAGGTCACACAGAACAAGTGGAAAAGCACTTTGTTTTTTTAAAGAAGGTTTTTCAGTTAGGTGGGGTTTTTGTTTGAATTCTAGAGTAATCATTCCTAAAACAGTAATTTTCATAGACTTATGCAGTGCTTTCTAGGGATCCATGAATGTGAACTGCATGATTTCTGGAGTTTTGTAGATGCAAGTGAAGAGGCACAACTGTAAAATACCAGTAAAATTCCCTTGTAGCAGGGGAACATGGCAAATGCTAAGTCATCCCATTTCGTGGCTGGCAGCCATCATTTGAGACACATTTCCAGGTCTCCTTTTCAGTCTACAGCCTGAGATTGTTGAAGAAAGATGGTTTCTAACAGTGGGACAGGAGAGCTGACCGCAGTTAGGACAACAGATTTTTTTTAAGTTTTTTTTTCCCCTTTGCTTTTTCTCATCCATTTTCATTTTAAGGAATAGTATTTCAGAGGATTGGTCTGTTACTTATGGAAGGAATATAAGTGCACGGAGTTTAAAAAAAAAAAAAAGGAAAAAAGAAAAAGGAGGTTCACAAAATTCATTATGTTATAAAAATGAGCTGAGAAGTGTATTACAGATACGCTTCTTTCAAAACACAATCTTGCCTTTATCTAACATGCTCATGTTTACTTGTAGAATGGATGCAAACAGGACAAGAGGAGATTTTTTTTTTTTAACTTAGTTTTTGGTTGTAAATAAGCTTTGAAATAGAAACCAACACACTACATAACATCCTTTGTGGAACTCCATTCTCTTTATAAGCTGCTCACTTCACAAGGTGGTTTTACACTGAAGCAAGGATCTGACAAATAAAGAAATAGCCACAATTATGTAGTAGTGAACATCATGTTACTTTCTGAATTGGAGACAGGAATGAAATCAAAAGAAATTTTTAAAACTTAGACGTCACTGAAAATCTCAGCCACTAAAAATACAGATTTTGCAGCTGCAGTTAGTGCAGAGTCAGATACAAAGGAATTCAGGTGACAATAATTTGTGCCCATGAACTTACGGAAGTTACGGAAAGACCTAGTGGAAAATCAAGTGTGTTAATATGTTGCTCGTTTCCATCAAGGGCTGTTCAGCAGATATTGCTGTACTTTGAGGCAATAAATAGGTGTGAAATAATTTTGAAAATACACTTTGATTCTGTGTCATCTAAAGACTATGGAAAACTTAATGTCGGTGAAGTGCTTAATTTTGCCACTGGGGCACACTTATAAAATGATGCATGATATTTTCTTGAATCTGAGGGGGAAAAGGTGCAAATTTTGAAATCTGCCATCTTAACCAACTACTGATTTTTTTTTTTTAACATTTCTGTAGATTGCGTGTGTTGTTTCTGATGATTGTCTACCAGAGTAAATGCACAACTGTGGTGTATTTCCTTTTGAGGAGATTACACCTGATTGCTTGGCTACTTTTTTTTTTTTTTTTTTAAGTCATGCTGCTTTATTACTAACCATTGATCAAATCACAGAAATAATCAGGTTTTAGAGCTTAAAAGTAGTATCTGCATGCCTTTTACTGCCACCTAGAGGTATTTCATCTGAGGAAAAATTTACAGTGGCAAAAAAAGAATCTGGAGAATGCAGTTATTGACTGATAGAATTTTTTTCAGAACTCTAGTCATTAATTTTATTAATGTTCAGCTTTCTTCGTTTTTGTAGAATCACTACTTACTGTATATGTCAATTAGAGTAATTTAACTGTGGCGATCCAAAAGTAAACATGAAGGCTTTTTATACATATATATATTTTTAAATGTTTTGCAGAAAGCTGTAGAAGAACCACTAAATGGTAGGTGATATTCAAGGCTTATCTTCTAATTAAGTGATTAATTATGGAAAAAGGTCAAAAAATAGTGGTAGTTCACAATACAACAGCACTGAGATGGGAGATTGGTATATCAACTTACGTGGCTCTCAGTCAGTAAGAGTTTGATCTCTCGATGAAATTATGCCTGCAGAGAACAGACTCCTTGTTCTACGCTTCTGTGCTTCCTCGCCAGTGGCATTGTTTGACTGTTTTAGGACAAATCTAATATTTCAGGATGTTATATCCACCCTCTTCACTTTGCAAAAAGTCCAGCTTTTAAGAGGAAAAGAGGGACAGGTCTTGAAAGTTGATGTTAATTCTTTTTCATGAGCATTTACCATGGTGGAATACCTATGATTATAGCAAAATCTATCCTTGTCACTCTATTCTTTTGGTATTTCTTTGGGTTGGGGAAGCTCTGCCATGGTGTTGGGAAACTCTGATAGCGCTTAAGTTGGGGGAAATTTATGGTGAGAAAGGGATGACTCTGAAGTTTGGGGTTTTTTTTGCTATTCTGTTCACTAATTGGCATGCTGAGTAGTATAAAGTTCTAACCCGAATTTCAGAATTAATCTGAATGTTAACTATGAAGCATTTCTTGCTGTTTGGCTCCTTACTAATCCATTTGCTTGGCTTTTAAAGATGCAAAAGGAGTGATGTTAGAATGATGGTAAGTCCAAATATATCTCCAGATATTTATTTTAATTAACATGTATTTGGGGATTTTGATATTCAGAGTTACCCAGTGCTAATATGATGAAACTTGGAGGACAGGTTTCAGTGCAGGTGCTGTTCTTATTCAAATTATATTTAATTGAAAAGAAAGAATACATATTTTCTGTATCATGCATAGGGGAAGAATGTATATTTCTAAACAGTGAAGAGGATGCGTCAGAGGGAACTATTAAATAGTATGTTTCTGATCAAATGTGGAAGGTCAAATAGTTTGTATGCTTCCTTTATGCTGACATAGTATATAAGATGCATGGACTGTTTAATTGGTGGTGGGTCGTTGTATTTGGTTTTTGGGGTGTTTTTTTTTTTTGTTGTTGTTGTTAATATAACTAAGCCTGCTCTACGTATTTAATTGGTGATTTCCTGTGGAAGTTCACAGGAAAGTGGTTTAAAAGGAGACTTCCTCTCCCCCTCCCCCCTTTTAGATGTTATTTACATTCTCTGGGTTTTGCTAGATTGTTTGTATTCCAGTCAGATTTCACTCAATTTATTTTTCAGGGTCAGATAGTAGTGTTTAAAAACGAACAGAACTGAAACACATCTTAATAAAATTTAAGACCTGCTTAAATACTTCAACTTATTTTTGACAAACCTGAGTTTTGAACTTTAAGATCTAAAGGTGCACTGTGGCTTCTGCCCATTGGTTATGCTTGATGTTTAAAGATCTACCAGATATTGTAAAGAAAGATGTATGCTGCAGTGTCCTGGCTGAACGTAACATTTCTTCCTATTTGAAATGTCCTCAATGCTGGGATTAGTCCTTTTGATTTTATAATGGCCTGTAAGATTGCAACACCAACTACCTGAAAATAGACTCCTCTTAATATATAATAAGCCATGAAATGAGAGAGACTGTATTAACCTGGCCCAGAATTCCCAGACTGGTACCTAAAGCGGGTAGCCAAGTTTGCAAAGATTCGTGGTTCCTGCAGCTCATATCCATCAGAAGAGTAACAGAGTTTGCCTGGCCAGATTGCTTGCTCACTGAAGAGCTTAAATTTTAGATTAGATACTCAGGTTTGAAAACAAAAAGAGTCTTTTATTGATTCTTTTCTATTCAGCAGCTGTACTTCCTTTTCATGGGAGTAGGATAAAAGAGCACTTGTTGATGCTATTGACACTTCTGTTTCTTCCTGGAAACTGAGCAAGCTTGTCATGAGGTATCACTACACCCTTAGCCTAGTACTCCTGCATCAAAATACAACATTTTGCTAGTCAGGATAAAGAGTGAGGTCACTCTAAATCTGTTAATTCACTTGGAATATTTTTATATCATGCCACTTCTGGAAGGCATGAATTGACAACGTGACAATAAATGAGTTACTAGTTAGCCCTAATTGGAAAAAGGTCCATCAGTTGATTTTAAAAACAGGCTTCCTTACAAATACCAGGTACTGCTAGGTTTATGTTACTTATTTGGATGAATCAGGTAGTAGTCATATGTCATAGGATTACTTTCTACACCAATAGGGATAGAAGCACTTTTGCAGTACAAAGGACAGCTGCATTGGTATCTCCTAAATGCATTGATAAAATGCATACCAGTTAGTATAATCTCAAGTGGGAGAAGGGAAGGTAGGTCCTGCTTCAGAAGTGACTATTGCTTGTTCTTCACAGTAGTGGGTTGAGATCAGGAAACAAACAGATATTTGCCAGTCTATTGCATTCAAAACTGACCAGAAGGGAGATGACGATGGGATCAATGTGGTTACCGCATACCGCTGAAGAGCAAGTTTAGAGTTCTGCTTGGAGATCCAGTTTTAAATAAGTTGACTGTTTCATCTTGGGTCTCATTTAGGGTTATAAAAACCTGCCTCCTCTTCTAGTGCTGAGATAGAGCTTCCAAAAGCACAGAAATTACTAATTATTCATTTCATTTTGACTTTTAGAGTAGGGTTAGAATTCTGTCCGCTTTTTCTGCCTTGAAAGATGGCTTCTAAAAATAACAGAAGGGCTTACAGCTCGAAGGCAAGGGCTCTGACATGCAAGCTGGAGGCAGGAACCTTTTGAGCTGTACCTGCTTTCTACCTTAACCTTCCCTTGAAAGTTCACGCACACGTTGAAGGGATGAGTCAGGTGCTGAAGCACGCTAGCTTACAAAATGGCACGTGAAAGTAAACCAGCACTAGGAGTAAAGACAGGACAGGTCGGACAACTAAGGGTGGGAGCCGCTACAGCTTATTCCAGTTCGTGAGTCGGAGCTCCAAGACAGTGTCCACTTTTCTGTTGTGGAGAGGCTGAAATATCACTTGCTGTTAGTACCACTTTTTTGCATTATTTGAGTGCTAAGTGTGCTTTCAAAGTTTGAAATTAAAAGAAGTCATTTTTTTAAGCTGTAACTTGAGTAGGCAGCACAAAATGTTGCCAAACAATCTTTTTTTTTTTTTTTTTTTTTTTTTTCCAATTCCCAGAACTGAAGAGCTCTGTGATATGTGAAAAGTACACCGCTGTTGATACACCGTGGCCTTGAAGATGCACTACTCAAAGAGAAGAAATTCAGGAAATTAGTTGTTTTGCATGTGTGGCAAAAGTGCTTTTGATATAAATGATGTAATTTTATAGTCACAGCAGTTGTAGCGAGAAATGTGTGTTTGCCCACATGTGATCTTAATTTTCTTTTGTTATGGTATATATGGGATAGTTGAGGGTGAGACTATAAAAAGCACTGTCCACTACAGGGTCTCCCTGCAGTAATCCTTAGTGGTATCACTTTCAGAAACTATCATTAATCACTGCTTTGATAATGGGCGTGCTCAGCCCAGAGATTGCAATACCATTTAGACTATTGTTTTCTTTATTTGTGTGCATGGGCAAGGTATGGTCATATGTCTGTGATACAAGCAGGAAGCAGAGATTGTGCAAATACATCTTTTCTGACATTCAGCAAAACTTTTATAAAAAAATAAATAAAATGCTTCTACACAAAGTTGCGCAAGTACAAAGTTCACTCCCAGCTCTCCTTAAGTTATTAACAGAGTTCTCCTACTTCCACGAAACAGTAGTATTCTTCTCTATGGATAGTAGTCATGTATGCTCTGGTGGCCGATATTTTAGTCCAGTGAGAGAGTTCTCCGTGCCTCTTCCGTATTCTTTGACGAGAAGCTGCTCAACTATTGGAGCCTAATTCAGCACTGGAATTACAGAGCACAGCAGCTAGTAATTTTCATGCTGAATGTGGTTCTTGTGTGTGTTCATGTTGTGCCGTGTGTGATACTGGAAGTAATTTCAGGCTTTCTTTGCTCAGTGAATTTGTAAAACTCATGGAGGCTTCATAAAAATAGGAGCTGTCCTATTCAGTGTATTTTTGACAGAGTGTAAGAATCTGCTTTCTTGAAGGGAAAAAGGAGCTATTTCATTTCTGACCCAAGTTTCAGATGCTGCCATTATGTTACAAATACGTAAAATAGAAAATAAGTAGGAGGAGCTGATGAGAAGTGAGGAGGCTCAGTTTCTGTATATACGTAAGTGGTACAGTTAAAAGTCAATTTTCTAGGACTTGCACATTCCATGAGATTTTACCACGTTTTACAACTGTTTTGAGAGTTGTTCCAATATAGTTGGCTGCTCTTGGACTTCATGTAGACTTTGTAGAAATTTTGACACTGTCTCCTGTTTGTACTAAGGTAATATATTCCAAAGGCACACATGGCTTTCTCCTTCTAACAATTTAAAGCTTTGTTTGGAAAACTGTTGCCAGACAGTAATGTAATAAAATCCATGGTTTTAAAGATTCTGAGTAATTCGGCACGGCTCAGAGCTGGATGTTATAAACTAAGGTTCATATCCGTGTTGTGGGCACATGTTGCAGAGATTCACGTCTCTGCGTGTTGAGCTCCAAGTCTTGATGCAGACACCTTGCAACAAGAATTCAACAAAATAAAAGTGTCTGATTTTACAATATTTAGTCTCATAAACAGTCCTCTTGCTAGGGCTGCAGGATTGAACCGCTTAAAGCCCTCACTAAAATCAGTGGAACTGGCCACAGAGAGGAGGGTTATTCATGTGATAAAACAGTTCAAGAAACACATATGGTTTACACTTACTTTCATACCTTCAAGTTTGTCAGTGGGAGTATTCATATAAGATTTGAGCTCCTGTATATGAATCTTTTGATACAGGTTTTTCCATAATCACAGCAACCTCTACCTAAAGACAGGAGGTGACTCTCCATTAACAATTCAGTGTAAGAATTTACCTGATTAGGTACCATGCAGAGCTCCCTGTTTACAACTAGGGATTCCCTCTGGCCAGTTGAAAGTTGAGCAGCTGAGGAATAAAAAACAAACCAGCTGGAATTCTGTTGCGGTATTCTGCCTTATAAAAACCATTATGTATAATAGCTTTATGTGGACTTCTGTAAAGCAAAGTGCAGTAGAGCCCGTTTGTGTCACTGTGGGATGAGGCCGAGCCGTGATGAGGCGTTGCTGAAAGATGAGGAGCTCAGTGGCCGCGTACAGGCTGCAGAATCAATTGCCCCAGAAATGGGAGAAGCCCCCGTTCCTGTTGCGTTAAGGGCTCTGCTCTGGATTTCTTGCGGGTACAAATTTAAAAGCAAGAGTTTAAAAAGTCATTGATATACTGAGCCCTTTCCCACCAGTTGTTTAAAACCAAAGTTGTTCATAACTGTATGCTTCCATTTGTGTGTGTACTTATGTGCGTATATATAAATATATAGACATTTTAAATATCTATAGATCTATAGTCTTTACCCAACAAAATGTTTTTATTTATGAAATATGAAACACTTTTGTAAATATTGTGCTAATATACTTAAAAAATAAAGTCCTTTTAAGTTGTTTTTGTGAGAGATTTTCTTGTTGCTGTCACATTGAACTTCTGTAACTGCCTCCATACATTCATAGTCATAGCTCTTCCTCTCCCTGCCTTTACACCCTCTCTCCCCCCCAGATTACTTACTGCACATACAAGAATGTTCTCAGTGTTACTTAGGCTGCTGCAGATGGTTTTGGTTGGGAGATTGTTGTGGGCTTATCCATGGCCACGCACTTTGAGGTGCTCCAGCATGACCTCGTGCACAGCCACTGATGCTTCAGGGCGTACCTGCTGCAGCGCGGACTTATCGGCAGCCACAGATGCTTTGAGGTGTACCGTCTCCAGCGCGGACTTATCCTTGGGCCGCGGTCCCTTCGGAGGTGCTGCTGCGGTGCAGACATAACCACGGCCACAGATGCTTCGAGAGGTACCTGCTCTGGCGTGAGCTTATCCACGGCCACAGGTGCTTCGGGGTGGGCTGCTCCCGTGTGGACTCGCCACAGGTCGCAGTCCCTTCCACTCGAGTTCACGCGGGAGTTCCAGCCTGCCCCGCGCAGAAACAGCGGCCATGCCTGGCCGTCTGCCAGCCCAGGCGCGCGGCCGTTGCTGTTATCAAACTGTTCCCAGGCGCAGCAGAGAAAGATGATAAGCAGCGCAGCAGCACAGCGAGCAGGGAAAGCAACAAGCAGCCACTAACGAGGACTGGACTCCAATATGCAGTGAGGCAAGCAAGCCCCGCAGCAAACACAGGAGCCTGCCAATTAATAGCTAAACAGCCATACCGGCTATAAATTCTATTTAGCACATTCCAGTCAAATCCGTTGTTATCTTGAACCCCTCGAGCCCCACGTTGGGTGCCAAAAAGGGCTGTCATGCTTTAACCCCAGCTGGCAATGGAGCACCGCCCAGCCGCTCGCTCCCCCCTGGTGGGATGGGGGAAGAATCAGAAGAGTGAAAGTGAGAAAACTCATGGGTTGAGATAAAGACAGTCTAATAGGGAAAGCAAAAGCCACGCACGCAAGCAAAGCAAAGCAAGGAATTCATTCACTCCTTCCCGTGGCAGGCAGGTGTTCAGCCACCTCCAGGAAAGCAGGGCTCTGTCACGCGTAGCGGTAGTGGTTACTTGGGAAGACAAACGCCATCGCTCCGAACGTCCCCCCCCCTTCCTCCTCCTTCCCCCACCTTTCTGTGCTGAGCATGACGTCATACGGTGTGGGATATCCCTGCGGTCAGCTGGGGTCAGCTGTCCCAGCTGTGTCCCCTCCCAGCTCCTTGTGCACCCCCAGCCTCCTCGCTGGTGGGGTGGGGTGAGAGGCAGAAAAGGCCCTGATGATGTTTAAGCCCTGCTCAGCAGTAACTAAACCATCCCTCTGTTACCAACACTGTTGGTCACAGCTCCAAAACATAGCCCCATGGGAGCTGCTAACTCCGTCCCAGCCAAAACCAGCACACATGGGAATCCCAGTCTTCCCTCCTAGAGCAACAGTAACAGCTGTAGGTCTGCAGCCCCCGTGGCCACAGCTGGGAAAGTCAAATGCTGCAAAATCTACAAACTAAAATAACCTGCATCTTTTTTCCTCTCTTTTTTTTATTCTGGTCTCAGATGTTTTTGAAAACTCCAGGCCTGTGATAATGGGAATTGCGTGCTCTTTGTATTTCCTCCAGCTTACTTACAGTTCTTCCTTGCAAAAGGAAAATTGTTATCAAGACTGAGTGCAGTACAACTATTTAACCTCCTCCTAAATTTAAACTACGCTCAGTTTCTAACTGTTCCTGATGTCATATGGCATGTGTGATGCCTAGAGTGGTCCCCATTCAGATTTCAGAGGCCAGTTGTCACTCCTGCTGCAGATTATGTCTGATGGGGGGGGAGAGGACTTACTTCATCCTGCCGTAGCCATCTGGCAGCTGAACAGCTGAGTGTCAACCCCTCACGAGCCAAAAAGAGAGAAAAAGCACATCCACAAGGCCAAACAGGGTTCTGGATCATGAGGACAGTGGGAGCAGTGAAAATCATTTCCATGAGGTGTGTCTGCACCCCACTATTGCTTTCGTTTGTAGCAGCTGCTTTTTTGGGGAACAGCCTGCAGGACTCACAAAAAAAGAAGCAAAACACTGTTTTTCCCTGGGAATACCTCTGAAAGCATGCGTATGTCCCATACCAACCAGGCACACAGCGTCATCCTGTGAGGAGGAGGATGGCCAGAATTACATTTTAATGACCAGTCCATGCGTTTTGGAGAGCGGGGCCCATCTTGCCTCCAGAGGCTGTTTGAGGATAATGGTCTTCAAACTGGCAGGGGTTCTCTTATGCAGGGGATTATATCTGCTAAAACAAAGCTAAAAGAGAGCAATTAAGGAAATATGTCATGATTATTCATAAAGGCCAATTAAAAAAATGGTTTTAGCAGCTTAATTCTCCCTTACTGAGTGTGGTTGTTGGATCCACGCTTTGTTTTGATTCAGATGGTATCTGCAGCAGGGTGAATCACTTGAACTGAAGCCCTGAGCTTTTGAAATACCAACTTTTCTTTAGGGAAACAGAAAAATAGAGCTGGAATTTAAATTCAGCTGATTTAAATAAGCAGTTTAAAAATACCTGCTTAAAAATTCTGGTGTATTTTAACCTCTCAACTTATTAAAGCAAAGAAAAACCAGCTTTGGACAGACCATTCCAACAAATACGCAGGTCCTTAAACTGCTTGGAAACCTCATGACGTTGCCAAATGTAGACTTCGGGGCTGGGAGGTGGGATGAGAAAGTTAGCAGAGGGAAATGTCTACCTTTCTTGAGGTGTGTCTTTTGGTTTTTACACACCACAAACAAGATGTTGAAGGCTTATGAGGTACGGCTTCGGCCCAACCAAGCAGAAACCAGGTAAGACCGAGGACCACAAAAGCCTTTA